GTGCCTAGTCAATAGCAACGAATTCAAGACCACAATGGGGGAAGACTTCTCGTACGAGTAAATGTCTACTTGTAAGCACAGAAGATTGATTCCTGGTTCTTTGGAATAGCTTAAGCGCGTTGACCATCAAGCAAAACTCAATATCTTCCGCATAAAGTCGACAACACACAAAATGGGTGGCTGAAACTGTTTCCGTACTTGGCATACGACTGTATACCCATCGAAGGAGACTTCTGTAATGCCGTTTTATTTAAGCTCTAGCCCTTAACCGAACACTATCAATGAAATAAATGCTAGTAGCCAGAGGTAAATGTTCTTCAGGATGGTGTTTCTCATATGAATCTTATCGAGTTCTTCCTGCACTATTTCGGTGCACAATCAAACAAAAATGTAAAAACGTGCGAGTGAAGCTGCCAAATCATCCACAAAATGTAAGCGTATGCGTCGGTCACATTTATTAATATCATTCTGTTCCATCAATTAACTAAGATAAACTGTCTTTTCCGATGAACTCGTATAGGTTAAAACTTTATTAGTAAAATATAATGTACTTCTTGGACAACAGTAAGTACCTGACTGGTATGCGTATTGACTTCCCTGTCAACAGCCTCTTGGAACTGCTAATTATGTGGACAGGATGAGGTCTCAATTGAAAATTGCAAAATATTTCCACAGTACGATCTGGAGCGAGAATAATTTTGTAAAATGAGTGAAACTTCAATTTGAGAAATTGTCACTCCAGGGCCATTCAGTATGCGACCACTTGATGAGGTATCCGTAATATAGGAATGAGTTATATTCTGTTCAACTGAGAGTCAGTCACATTGCAAACTCAATCGAGGGTCAATGGTTAGGTGTGGCCTGAGAGTCGAAGGCTCGGATATCTTTGATATTCGTATGATGTGCGCTCCTGATGTTTCCTAACAAGAATAGAAGAGGTATACTTTGCTTCATGGCCTTTCAACATAGATTGGCCTCAATAACAAAAAGATATCTCAGTTGAAAATTACAAACGCCCCTCACAATATAATTACCATTGATTGGCTTAGATTACAAAATTCAGTGCAAACGAGGACCATCAGGCAAATTAAACCGACCAAGAATCGTTTCAAAAAATCTCGAATGATGAGCCGAAATTGTTTAAAATTCGAGGGTTGCGAAAAATAAGACATCAGGCAAGAGGACAGCTCCTAACCCAGCACTGAACTTAATTACAAAAGTGCCTTGCTTAAGGTACTTCTGTTTGGCTGCACCGAAGTTTTCGGAAACTGACACCCATCTCAAAACCTGAAATTTAAAATGACGAAGAAAGAGTTTTTGTCGAACATCGGCCACGTAGACTAAAGTATGGAACCGAGAGGTGGTTGTTCCTCTAGGATTGAGGAAAAACGGAAAGAAGGTTCACTTTTCACTCTTCTCGCTTGACAAGACATTCGGGATGGTGGAGTATACTTTTCGATCGTAACGCACTCAACATAAGGTTACTGAAAACTCTTGGGCGACCCGCTACTGGGGATCCCATTGAGCCATTCATCAACATCTTGGTGGTTTGTAAATGAGGATATTTCACCAAACACGTGCACGTTGGTGTTCAGTTAGACCCAATAGGTGATCAAAACCCAATGAAAACTATTCCTACCTGATGCGCTCTAGGAAAGACTAGAGAAACGGTGGTCTGTAGAAAGTTTTCAGCGACCTGTTGAGCAGTGAATCATGTTAAATGCTCTGTTCCAGTTCGGCTTCAGAATTTGACTTGAGCTTTGGCACAGATACTTTGACCCGTCATGACGCATGCACAAGTTACGCAAGATACTATCGGTGGGCGGAACGGGAAAGCTAATTGTTAGCCACGTCGTCCAAGATACAAATAGCAGATTATTAGCATACAAATGGAATCTGAGTGTAAACAATAAGAATGCTTTTGGAATTGACGTAGACCAATATGATGATGAACCGAGCAAAGTTATCTACCGACTGATTCTGATGCAGCTTTTGCTACTGCAAGAAGAAGCTGATTTTTGTAATGTGCGGCTTTTGGACCGTAAAAGCATAACAGGGAGTATTTTAGGATGCACGTGGAAGACGGTGCTGGAAATGACACTACAATGGTTGAGGGGATCAGAAAGAAAAAATGCGCTATCCCAATTATGTAAAATCCATTATCTTAAATGGAACCGATTTCACCCAGCCGACCACATCCCCACGTTATCAATTCTCACTTACAGGTAGCACGAAACATGCGGGCAAATTTCAATAAAAAATCAGCTTTCATTTGCCTATTTCAACAATACCGCAACCAAAAAGATTTGGTTTCTTTGTTACCGCGAGAATATCCCTCAAAATAAAATGTATATGATTTAGCTGACCGATCCGTACTGTTTTGAATCGCTTATCAGGAATGTATTTTGAATTTGCCAACATTCGCTTTTTCCCTTTCGACAATCAAAGAAGATCCAAAGACCATCTAAGTGAGTGAAGTATATTACCGACAATTCAAGGCCATATGCTGTCACCAAACGCGTTTTGACAACACGGAAACAACACTTCCACGCAACTAATGTTGACAACATCTTGCAGTGATATCCGATGGCCCAAACAAATCAGCTTTAAGGTGAAACTTTCGTATTCATCAGCGTGTTTTCAAGATGTTTCCATGCAGAGTCATATACGCAAGTGCTTTAAAGTTACAAAAGTGATCAAGATCAAGTAGGGTCACTGTGTTGATTCATCCTAGTTGGTACTTTTAAGACAGACGGTACATTTCGGTTAACACGTTTAATATTGATAACCTGATTAGTATCCAGCGTGAGAACTCAAAAGGAACGCGGCTCACCAACAGTACTATCATTTTTCTCTATGCCATTTACATTTTCACGCAAACAGTGGACAGTGTCACCTGTCAGATTTTGCCACTGTGTCCGGTAAAACTTGCCAAAAGAACGCCTGTCAGTTAAAAAACCGGAACGCCATATCAGAAACAGAAATCAGCTTAGGTGAACATGAACTGTTCTCCACTGTATTATGGTTTTAGTCGGAGTTCACAAATTTTGCCTCAAAGCAACTCATATTTTGAGCGTGTACAAATGCATTTATCTACTATTCAAGCCTTATCTTTCCTTCGAAAGGGTATGATCTCGGGAAATGTGGTATGCCAGATCCTTTGAAGAATACTATCCAAAAGTCCACTTAAATTCAACAGCGTGTGGATGTCAAGAAATAGAGACCATTCTTTGAAATGGTTCGAACCAATAAACAAATGAAACTCCTGAATTCAGATTGGGTCAGCCTTCACTGAGACGATGGACAGAACGACTTATTTTCGGAGCTTAGTTGTTTCAAGATTGCACATTGCATGTGAGTCTTCGAGGTTATCGAGTACGTGACCGGCGATCAGTCACACTCCAGCAAGAGCCGGCCTAATTCACTAGTGAGGCTAACGGCTGTCATGCGGTATTGAAACTTCGATGGTTGAGACAGGCAAAACGAGGCTTCTAGTGGTAAAACGTGACTGTAAAATAATGCATCAGGCGCAGCTGTCTATTTGTATTTTGGGTTTCATTTCAGTTGTAGAAAACTATTGAATTTCGCAAACGCACGCAATTATTCGTGTGGGTTGTTGAGCTTTTCTGCTATTCTGAGAAGCACGATCGAATTTTTTTCACAGTCACGGGAAATAAAGCGGCTGACATAAACACTTGACGGGCATGCAGAGTTTCAAACCTACTGTTTCACCTACTGTTCACTACCTCAAGGCTTTCACTTCACACAGCAGCTCACAACTTGCTCATGGTTGGAGTATTGAGTTGCGTAAACAATTTTCCGACCGGTCTTTTCTAACTCTGAAGAAATTAGCTCTTGTTTAATGTGTCTGTGGGCAGCCGTGCTTAAGTGCTCAGGCTATTGGCTTGAATAAGAAACCATGCATGTCTACATATGATAAATTCTTGTATAGAAAGGAGTTGTGTAACACGTAATGTTGCTACGGCATCCTATTTCCCGAAGAAGCCCTCCGAGCACGAAAATGGAAGACGTTCTAAATTCTTAAAAAGTGTTTTTCACCCACACACACCTCACCCGAAGAACGTGCATGCATCCGGAAATAACTTTTTATGTGCCCCTCTCGGAGTTGAGAGCAGTATCAGTGAGTAAGACGTGATACGTCAGCAACTGCTGCGTAAATGGTTGAGTTACTTGGCTTGACAGGCAAATTTTATGGAATTCCTATCCGACGTCAGAATCCGTATCTCTGGACCACGGTTTCTTGCTTTATCTATCACTACAAATGTCTTCGTTGATGGTGCTACCGTGAAATATACCACCACTTTCAATTATTCTGTATCTGAATCTCCCGAAATATTACGAACGACTGGAATGGTATGTCCCGGATAGCAGGATCTGATTGCTGCTAAACAGATTACCTTACGGATGCAATGGCACATTTTAGGTGTAACAACTACAAATTATCTGCTACCTACACTTTACAGATGACCATCATCCGCAGAGAACACCGGACGACTGAACTCTTCCTAACCAGTCTCAGAAAGCTAGATAAATAATTGCTGCCTTCCATTCTTCTCGCAAGAGCATTTTAGTTCCTCTCGAAGGTTAGCGCTGTTCCATTTGCCTAGGACAAATTAAAAACCGCGTTTCGTTTACTCAAAGGATCCAAATTGGGTACGGCTTACTTTTAAGGAAAGTAATTCCAACCTCATGGGTTGGACAGAACGAACTGTAATTCCACCGAACAATGGGAATGTCGCACCTACTGGTCAGGTGGCGCTTCCTGTTCGTATTTATAACCCTCTGTCTCTTCAAGTCACTAAATTAGAGAGCATAAGCAGATTGAGAAAAACTGCTTTCAAATACGTGCTGAATAACGGAACTCAAGCAGAAAACGGACAGTTGTGTTTCTGATGCTATTTTACCACAAACCTCTGCGTTCTACTGATCATTTTATAAAAGCGTTTCTTGAAAACTGTGCGCTGATTTGTTCAACTTACCTTCATTTATAGAATTCGTTTTGAAAGATACTCGGCTGAACATTTGTGGAAATGAACAATTGTTTTCAGTTACAGGTTCCAACAATGTACATTTTTATTGTATCTTCTATGAATCAGTAATTACTTCCACACTTTTCCCATAAATCGATGTAGTCGAACTTTCCACCGGTCTGTCTGAGGAGTTTTTAGTACAGTCCGATGATTGTGTAGCACACAAGTGGGTGCATTTAGTAGTTTTATGATGTTTAGCACATCAATTTTTCGGCAATTGCACGTCGCGTTGATGGAGACATCTAACCGCATTCACATGCTGCCGTCTCATTTGGTCACATGTGAATTACACCAGCTTGTCTGTGTGGCAGGCGGTGTATGGGCGAAATCGATTTCGTCTCCAGAACTGGACAGCCAAGAGACGGCCAAGACAACGAAGAGGAGTACAAACGTCCAAACCAAATAGTGCTGGCCGTTCTGTGCAATTTGCTCCTACTATTGCCGTCTTTCACTGAACAACGTCAAGTTGCAAATTGGTGATAGCAAACGGTATGTCTCCTTCCTACTAAGAGAAATTGCGTGCGATTGCCCATGTGCGTGTGCTTGCGTGTGTCCCCGTCAGCGCTCACGTGTGTGTTTGCCTACATACACACAAATGAATGCACATTGTGCGACGTCTGATTTGACGTGGATATGCTTTTATTGGCTTGGCACTTGGTACTGTTCATCATCGCTAAGGCTAAGAGCACCGTCCGCTTGCGTTTGTCTGCGTGTGGCTGATTTAGCACCATGAAAACAGCTGCGCTCCCAATCAGAAACGTCAGCAAAGCACATGACAAACCATCCTCTGTTTAGGCCATGATGCTATGTATCATCGGTAAACCCAAACCTCAGGTTCTCCGAGCAACATAAACCTAAGCGGATGTGCCCGGTTAGTATGACGGTTTGATCATTGGTGAGCATTCTTTGAATAAAAACGATATAGACATGTTGAGGCTGTTGGCTTTACCGATATAATGCAGACATTAAATGCCGCCTTGGATTTATTCGCTGCTAAGATAGCCTGTTGTAAGGGGCACATAGGAAGCAAGGGTGATTTGAACAACGTGAGATGAAAACTTGGGCAACGGTTAAATCACCAAGAATTACCAAAGCGCACTGTGATCCTTCCAAACCATGGGAGAAAATGCGCAATAAAAAAAGCAAATAGAACGCAAATTCATCAGGTGCATTCCGATCTTAATTTCTCTTCGATGGTGATAGGCGATGAATCGGGAAAAAGAGAAGTATCCAGTTCAGGGATGCTTTGAAGAATGTTTCTGACCAGCGCCCATCGTCCTAATCAGCAGCGCAACTGAGCCACTGAAGCAATCCATGCAGTCCATGAGCCCGGAATCATGTGAGCACTTTGTAGCGGCAGTTGAGCATTTAGTCCTAAGAGGTTATTTACCCCTGAAATCCGGCTAAATGAAGTAGAAAACTCTACTTGATTCACCGTAGTCTGTCCCGAATACAAAAAACAAATACATCGTAATTTAGTAGAGAGTTAATCGGTGAAGTCCTCATTGTATCCAGGGTCAAGAGGCGTAGACTCGCTTACGGAGGTTGCCGTTAAGTGAAAGGTCTCTAGATTGATAAAGCAGGGTAGAATCATTGATGGCCAAAATACATACTCTAGGAATCTAGAGAAATAGGGACTCTAAAGGGAATGGATATTTCCAGTAAGCGACGCGCCGGACACAAGTTTAATTAGAGAGAATTGGCTGGTACACGAACCTGTAGAAATGGATCAACCTATAAGTCCTGTAAGGCTGTTCCATTTCAGATAAAGTACAACTCATCCGTCTGCATTCACTGAACCTGTTTTATCAAATTTCTTGGAATATGTCCCATGTCCTAAACGAAGTAATCAAGATTCAAGCAGTTGCACTGAATAAAAGGGACGCTTTGAGAATAAAATCTCACACAAGTAGGTCGTCAATTGGGTCATTTGGATATTTGTTTTCCATGTCCGCCGGTAGCATGTCATTCAAGAAATAAGACAATTTATTAAATGTTTTGTGTCCGGTAAAATCTACAGAATAATCGTCCAGCCATTGTACCATTGTGGTGCCAGTTTTTGTTACTGGAATGGAGCACATTTGTTTTCGTACTGTCAAGCCTGAGCTGGAGCAGTCGAAATGCAAAGGTTGGATTCGAGTCAAGGTTCTCCCGGCAGGTAGGTTCGAGCTCAACCACTCATCCGTCTCAAACTCTCTCTCAGGTTTTCACCAACTGAAGCTGCTGAAGGTGACTCACTTTGGCATTGAGAATCCTGTAGACAGTGCATGGAACAGATTGTCAGTTATATTCTCTGCTAATGCAGAGAATGCAGAAATCGCACTGTGTGCGATTTCACAATCCGAGAAGCATACCAAAATGGTTGTAGCTTGGTTGTTAACTGCCTGGTCAGTTGGCTCTCTTATGAAAATTTGATGGCAAAGTAGTGGTTAGTGCCTGCGTTCCCATCGGTAAGTTAACAGCCACAAGGTTGAACACAACAGATTAATTTGTGACATGTGGACCAAAGAATCCGTCATAAACTGATTTGGACTGACCGTGGGCAGAGAGAATTCTTTTGCTCAGGATTAATGAAGTGACTAATGGATACATGACACCATATCTGCGCTTCTACCTTTTTCTCTCCGCAACTTGTGAAGTTTTTTGGTGAACTGCTTGCAAATTAGTTTGGTATCAACGGACCGTTCATCTAAGAGACTTTCACAAGTGCACAATACTCACGCTGCTGACCAGGCGCTAGCCAGCAACTAGTGTGACATTCATTTTTAAGCCTTGAAGTTGCGGGCTCCCATCACCACAGAGTACTACTGACAGTCCAAAAGGATGGTACGCAGAATGAAGATACTTGGACCTTCATGTCTCTTTTCTCAAATCTAACTTTCCCCCTGATAGACAAAAATTATTCACCATGTTTCCATTAGATATTTTGAAAACTTATCTGCTTGCTCTCATTTCTGCATAGTCCAAAATCATATATATATATATATAGTTATATATAT